TTTTGATCTAATCTTAGAAGAACTAAGTAATGTAAGCTCGTCCTTTTGATCTAATCTTAGAAGAACTAAGTAATTTTCATAGCTTTTGAAATTTACATTAATAAATATTTCTTTCGTAACAAAATATCTGACATAACTTTGGAGTTTTTTTTCTAAACAAAATATTAACATTTTAGAAAATTATAGGTTCTATAACGATTATAGCTCTTCATACCTTATTTTATGTATAAGAGTAGATCAGGCCGTAAGGCAGATTTAATGGCTGCAATCTGATTAGTCTACTATTAATGCAAGATCAATAAATGCTACTTGACAGTCACTACTGACTGATCTGACAAGAGGTTAACAACATACTCTGTGATAGTAGTTATCACGATAAATAACGGAAAATACACATCCGAGCAGTTATTTTTCCAAACAATAAACATAACATTAAAAACGTAGATATCTCCACACAGAGAACTATCTGGTATTCAACCAAAATAAATGTTTGAGTGCTATTGTCTGAAATTTGTACTTGAACCGAGCACAGGATGAGATTTAAACTAAAGTCTAAATAATTAACTTTAATTCATTTTAAGATAATCCAAAATATGTTCGAGTAAAGCTACTTACATTGAACATTTATTGTGTGAGTTGCCTTTGTAGTTCCAATAGTGTTGCTTACTTCACAACTAATCGCGTCTCTATTGTTTTCCCGGGTCAATCGGTTCAGTACAAACACAGTTCTGTTATTCCCAAGAATTTGCTCATCATTCCTGTGAAAGACGACTGTTTATTAATCACACTGAACAATTCACTTCACGCTAGATGGAACCTTAATTATAAATGATTTACTTGTGGTAGTTAATCCAAGAGAATTCACAACACAGATAAACCATCTTTTACATCTTACGAGATATGTAGAATTAAAAGCCATCACTATCAGCAGAAATTAAATTACATCCGTGTATGAAAATGTGACTCATGAAATTACGAAACTGTCAGAATATCTTCAACTTCTTTATATGTAAAACAGGCCTAAATTTCGGGGGTTATTTGTCTTTTGGTTCCAAGCCAAGATATTTCGTTGGCAACTTTCCAGTCGTTAAAATGCCAAGGTAATATTTCATAGTAAAAAACAACTAAAACTACTGTAAAGTGAAATACAACTACTGAAAGACGAAAGGAAATTCATTGTTGTTTTGAAACACAGCGCCAATAGAAAAAAAAATACTACTTTATTAACACCGACATTGGAAATTATAAGTTAGAAAGTGATAACCCCTTGTTAAAATCAGATTTATAATGGGTGACATGAAAAGAAATATAATTATACTAAAATAAACTCCATATAGATACTTTAAGCTTATACTGAAAATCCTATTTGATTCAAGAATGTGAAGAATGAGTTACTGAGTTTCAACATAGCTCAAAAATTGAATGCACTGATTTCTTCCTACTCTATAAAACCTTCCAAGAATAATAAAGCTGACTGTTGACTACCAAGGTTCTGCAGCAGATATATATAGATTATTCCACACATCCACCACGTGTAACAAAAATAGCTCCCGCTGTAAGCTTCGACTGCGATGCACGTTATTTCTACTAATATTCAAAGCTTATAATTCAAACATATTGTTGGTGTGAATGTGATATTTATTCACTATGGGAGATACCTATATACTGGATAGGTTAAGTGAAGAAAAGTGTCATTGGCCACTATTCAGTTTATTATTAAATGGGAAATACCTATACACTGGATAGGTTAAGTGAAGAAAAGTGTCATTGGCCACTATTCAGTTTATCATTAAAGCTTATATTTGTTTGCACAAATTTGTCACTTTTAGTATTTATTTAAAAAGTACATAATAGAAACAGCAATTTAAAAAGATTAAGTCATTCACCTCACCTGTACCATTTAAAGGAAACCTCCGGAGGATTAGCGTCAACTTTGCAAGTGAATTGAACGTTGCTATTCTCTAATATCCGGGTACTGTGAGCTAACAGATCTAACTTCGGGGCATCTGGTCGTAAAGAGACAAGTGAACGAACAAGAAAATCAAAGAAATCTTATTCTTATGTCTTGTAGTTTTATGTGTTTAATACAAATTATGAAAGTCTAAAAAATACAATGAAATATAAATTACACGAGCATCACAAACAAGCGTTTCTTATACAAAATTAATATGCACTTCATTGATTTAGTGAAATACAAATACAGCCTACAAATCATTATACATTTTACTAGACGTTAAATATACAAGTGAAACTATAAAAACTAAAATGTATTTGGACATCATTATAATTTTTCTTGTGTTTCTATTGTTTTTTTTGTTAAGCACAAAGCTACACAATGGGCTATTTGTGCTCTGCCCACCGCGGGTAACGAAATCTGATCTTTTGCGGTATAAGCCCATAGACTCACCGCTTAGCCCCTTTTAGACTTGTATTTATGAAGACGTATTTAGGTAAAACCAGTTGTACTCAAATGTTGCCTGTTACGTACCATTGTATGAAAAAAGTGTAAATGTAAATAAACACGTGTTTAACAACAGTAATAAAACAACTAAAGAAAAAAAAACATTCCTACATTTGACGTTGACAGTAATGGATGCTAGAGCAGGCTGTTTAAGTGCAGAGTTCTCAGATCTACAGGTGAAGCTTTTCAGGTGATCTTCTCTCTTTGGAGTAAACTTCCATGTTAAGATGGCATTAGACCTTTTGCCGTCGGTTAGTTTGTGGGTTTTGTAGTCTGTATTTGTTTCCACCACATCTCCTTTGCCATCAACCCAAGCCAGCTATGAGATAGAATATGATTTAAACAAGCGCTAATTAGATAATTATACTAAGAGTGTTTCATACTACATTTCAACTGAAACTAAGTAATTAGTTTGTTTCAGAGATTGTATGCAAAGCTACATGAAGGACTGTATCCACATAGCCGTCCCCAGCTTAGAAACTAGAAAAAAAGCAGTTAGCTAACACTAACAGCATTCACCTCCAAGTCTTGTGCTACTCTTGTCTGATGGAATAGTAGGATTTGACCCTCACTCTTATAACGCACCCACGGCTTCAAAGTATAGAGCACGTTTTTGTGACAATGAACCACGAATCCTTGGGTTCACAGTCCGAACGCGCTAACTAATAGGCGAAGCATGGTCAAGATAGTATGAATGAGGCCTAGCTGAATTTTTCTTAATATGTTCATTTTGATGGAAATTCACATTATGGCAATTAAAGATATCGATAAAATGTTTAACAGTTTTAGTGAGATGTATTATTATACTTTTTTTTCAGTTTACAAAGCTCAGGCAAACGCAGCGTTATAAATATGGAGAAAGTTTTTACTGAATTCAATAACTAGTTGTTTTCCACCATAATATCTATATTAATGTTATGAATTGAAAATTAAGTTAGCCATATTTGTTATTAACAATGGCTGTTTGCTTTCGTGCATCTTATATGTTTTAAGATAAAATAGAATGAAAAAGTGAAAACTAGCTGGAAGACAAGTAAAAAATGATATATTATGGACAGCTTTTTTGTATATTTTAGAGCAAAACCACATTGGACTATCTGCTAATAGACCCTAAATTTAGTGTTGCAAGTTCTTAAACTTACTGCTGTCCCGCGTCTGAAAAACAACCATATTTTAAAAACACTAGAGAAATAGGTATTTATATTTTTAACAAATAACAAGATATTTTAGAAATCCTAAAAAATGACATGCTGAATATTTGTATGAAATGACAATTAAAATGCTTAAAATTAAAGATAAAATAAAATTAGAGTATTGAATCAACCAAGTTGTGCACTTATATTTTTACTATATAGAAATGGTGGAAGCTGATATCAAAGTAAATATGTTGCATAAGATTTCAGTTTACAAACAAGCGGCAACATAGCGAAAATGATCAAACGTGATTAGAAAACAAATAAATAAGGAATATATCTATTTATCTTTAGAGTAATGAGGAAGGTTTTTTTGGCTTATGGATTGATCAAAAATATAGCTATTTTAACCAATAAAGTTGGACGACCACGAATCAGTGTTACTTTAAAGATTCACACGTTAGTGTGTGTCGGTGTTTTAAAAATACGTTTTCACTAGAACTAATTAATTTGGTTTGTAGAAACAAAAAAGTATTATTAAATGAATAATAATTGTCTCCTTCAATAAAATAACAACATTCCAGCATAAAGTCACGTACAGTTATAGCAAACACATAGAAAATATATCTTGTTTTCTACATTGTAAGATAACGCGATGAATCAGTAGAAACGCTATAACTCTCACCTCTGCTGGTGGTCGACCTCCACGGGCTTCACATGTCAACTCCACTGTCATCCCTGTAGTAGTCCATAGATAATCCCCTTGAACAATGATAGGGGGTTCCGGCGGAACTGTAACACGAAACCACCGAACACAAAGTAAAGTAGGTGTAAGAACGTAATTAAGTCTCTTATAAGAGTGTAATAGATAAGATAATATATCTCGTTCCTCACTTGCATGCCGTTTAAGATTTTCATACAACAAATGTATTGTATTTTTATGGACTTACTATTTGCTGTAATAGCACCATCTTGAACAAAGCTAAAAAATTTCTAATAACTAAGTTTCTAATAAGACTGGAAACAAAAACGTGAAATAAAAAAGTATATATTAGAGCGTAGAATATTTTTCTTTTTTTGTGAAAGGTACAGTGACTGTGTTGAAAGAGAATTGTATGTCATATATTGTGGTAAGAAATGAAACAAGACCAAGAACGTTCGGAATGTTTAGGTATGCTGTGAAACAGATAGACTAAGTAATGTTACTTGAAAGTGTAAGTAAGACGTTTTAAGCACTTGTAGTTTATAGTTATTCAGTTCCTTATAAAGTGTAGTGTCAGCACAAGAAATATCTCTGAATTATACTGAAATACCCTTACGTGTAGAATTATACAAACAGAAGCTTCAGCAATTTCCGAAAGAAGACATTCGTTGTGTAGGTTAAATACATTCGTTGTGTAGGTTAAATACATTCGTTGTATAGATTACCATAAAGGTAAGACAAATATCATTAAGAGATTAAACAACTGAAAAAAAAGATGGCAGGTTGTATTATTTGCACGTGAACATCGTTGAGCCCAAGAATTAATTTTTAACATTAAAAACTTGTTAGAAAAAATTCTTTAGCTCAAATATGCGACACCAACTAACAAGTAAACAATATAGGATCTACAATAGTAATTTCTACAAAAAAAACAGGCATCATTACCTAGATAATATTACTTCATCAAGTTCTCTATGCTTATATTTTGCTTTACGTTTGGGGATAAGAATTTTATACAAAGAAAATATAATACTTTAGTAGAAGTCCGGCAATTTTTTGAGCCATTCAATAAAATATAAAACAGAGTAATTTATTTATTAACAATGTATTATCAAAAGTAAGCTAACTGTATACATCAGAACTACAACGTAACTTATGAAGCTTATCCAATAGAGCTAACTGTATACATCAGAACTACAACGTAACTTATGAAGCTTATCCAATAGAGCTAACTGTATACATCAGAACTACAACGTAACTAATGAAGCTTATCCTATAGAGCTAACTATAGGTTATTACTTTCACCATTCAATTAAATATAAAACAGTATTTTATTTGTTAGCAACGTACTATCAAAAGTAAGCGAACTGTATACATCAGAACTACAACGTAACTAATGAAGCTTATCCTATAGAGCTAACTATAGGTTATTACTTTCATCATTCAATAAAATATAAAACAGAGTATTTTATTTGTTAGCAACGTACTATCAAATGAAAGCTAACTGTATACACCAGAACTACAACGTAACTAATGAAGCTTATCCTATAGAGCTAACTATAGGTTATTACTTTCATCATTCAATAAAATATAAAACAAATTATTTTCTTTGTTAGCAACGTACTATCAAATGAAAGCTAACTGTATACACCAGAACTACAAAGTAACTAATGAAGCTTATCCTATAGAGCTAACTATAGGTTATTACTTTCATCATTCAATAAAATATAAAACTAAATCTTATAATTTTTATAATACATTGAATAATCAATTGAGTATTCTCGTTTTACGATCTATGGTTATATAACGAATATTAGAACTTTTACACACAATCTCTTTGAATAAATTTTATATATTTTTAACACAATAAATTTTATATATTTTGAACACTGTTTTTAGTGATATTCGAACCAAAATGAAGTTCACAAGAATTGAAAAACTTAAAATAATCCAAATACGAACAAGAAAATAGACTATATATGAACATGTTATCCAATAGAAAAGCAATAATAAAAACACATGCAGACTTAACAAACACATATATTTAGAAATATTCAAGGCTCACCTTATATAAATATATATATGTAAGAAAACTATAGCATTAAAATATATAATGTGATTAGTAAAATAGAAGACGTTAATAATATGTGAAGAAGTGTGAATTTGTTGCGCCTAAGTACATTTTTCTACGTATTAGGTATATTTTTTACATATCTAAGCATGTCTCTACTCTAGGCTTATTCTTCCTTGTTTGCTGCGGATGGATATTGATTTTATTGACTATTTCTTTTTATTTCCATTTTATACGTTAGGGGAGGAATTTAAAATATCTTGATGAAACCTAATTCTAAAATTTTGTTGACAAAGAAAAATATTGATTTCCAAAACGAAAAAGTAAATTAAATGATACAGGAGAAAGTTTACTACGCTTTCCCCCTGCAAGTGAAAGAAAGGCCTTGAGTTTTCATGGGTGCCAAGTTATCTATCTATCGGCCTTTTTGTAAGGAAATATATTTTCTGGTAGAAATTAAATGGAAAAACAATTAATTTTGAATTTTCTTATCTTTTTTATTTTTATTATTTGAATAATATAGTACAGATTTTGGGTGATCAAAGAAAGAGAGGAACTTTTAGAGTTATAATTATCCAGTGATGATTTTGAATGTAATGTATATGAACGTAATAAAACGTAACAAAAAACAAAAATTAGTATTTAAAAAAAGGAAAACGTGTATTTTTGATATCCTTAGTGACTCTATTTTAAATGGTAATGATAATTATATTGCTAACCGAGAACGGTAAGTACAGCAGTTGTAGATCGAATTCCAGTAACTCCCTCTGCAGCTCCCACTTGACACTGAAATTCCGCGTCGTCGACTAGCTGGGCATTGATAACTTGTAAAGAATAGTCACCTGCACAGAAATATCTTTTTTTTCAAATAAATCTACTGAAATTATTTTTTTTTTGTAAAAAAACAAAACCATTTTTGGATTTATTTCAATATATAAATATATTAAAATGCTCATACG